TGACCCAAAGGTAAGCTTATTAGAGTTAATTTCTTCTAAACATCGACATAAAAATTTATATTCTTTATTTGCTGAAAAAATGTCCGGGATGATCCTTGGCGCCGATCCTAATCCTATGCTACGTGTATCGCTTGATAATATGTGACATAAGCGCCAATGACGTCCCGCCATTATTGTTGTAATGATACCAGTGGCACAATACACGTTGCTTCACTTTCTTACGCAAGATTTGGCTTCTACCAGCTGATTCAAGGACATTCGGCACGATCTTGTTTCTTTGTAATCTCATTCCCCATCATTTGAAGACGGAACTCATTACTATGCGATTGAAGTTTTGGTCACAATGTCTAATTCCAAGTTTGGAAAAGTTTTCGTGCCCCTGAAAACTTCTCCTAATAGGAGTTAAATGCGAGATGAATACGAAGTTCATAATTGACCGAGTTAACATAAAGCTCGACGTTGAATGATGCACTGCATCGTTTCGTTTGTTCCGTAATGGAGTTTTTATCTGTCTATAATAAAAAATAATAGCTTTTCTATACTATATTTTACATGTATTATTCATTCACTATTTAAAAATCAAATCTCTTCAACCGAACACGAATAAACAGGAAATACTTTATTAATTGTGGCAAATACTATGGTTTCAGGAAAACATGATTATCAGGCATCAACGAAACAATATCCTGCTCGTGTGTGTAGTATTACATTTCTTCATGCAAGTAAGATTTTTTTTTTTTTAAATTATGTGAATGACATTAAGATTATTAAAAGAATTTCGACTCTCTCGATCGCACAAAGGCCTTTTTATGAATATACATTTTAAGAAAGTCCGAAAGGCCTTGTTTTTGCCAATGAAAGCTCGACCAACTCGTTTTTCAATATACTCCTTAAATACGCCCAACCTCATACAATTCGTCATTTCGCAGCACTTTCTCACAGACGCGCCCTTAATATCTCACTCACGCGAGTAAAAGTTAATGAGGCCGCTCATTTAATGGCATTGCATTGTATAGCACGATCGAAGCAAGGCGCAGAGTAACAGTTTCATTTTTACACAATTATTTGAATTACTTCTTGCTCTCAAACCTACCTTTTGTCACGAACCTTTGAAAAGGTACTCGACGTCCACGGCCATGGAAGATTAATGGATCCGCCTTCAAGAAATGCAATGTGGCGGTTCGGCTATCCGAATCCAGTCAATTACAATGATAATGAGCTTTTTTGCGGTGGATACGCAGGTTCGTTCTTGCAAGTTACGTTAATCCGCTGTAATCATCGCGGATGTTCGGCGTTAAAGCTAATATTGACGATGGCTATTGTTCATCAGTACATTGGGAGCAGAATAAAGGCAAGTGCGGCGTTTGCGGAGACGCATATCATTCGAGTCAGCGTCCACACGAAGCCGGTGGTGAGTTCGCAAATGGGATCATCGTTCGACACTACACCTTGGGGCAGGTAATGTAACTTTTGATATTTTCGTACATCAATGTAATGCATGCAAATTTTAAAGCATAATTTTAGCACAATTATTTCGTTGTATATTTTCGTTGAATTTATGAAGAAAATATCACCTGCTGAACCTTATAATAATCAAAATCAAAATAAAAAGGCATTTGTTGTATAATTTTTATTGCATTGAAAAAAAAACCGAAATTACAGCCACAACGTTCGCAATTGTTATATGATATTTCAACAATACACTTTTAACTCTCTCTTCTCTAATATCTGCGTTTGGCTCTTATTTTGACTGTTCTTTTTTATTGAAAAACAATGTTGTAAACAGCATTATTTTAATTGAAAATAATTTCATTGATTCAACATAGTATTAATGAAAGAAATAAAATTTTATTAAAACAAGATAATATATAAAATATTTGTCGTAGTTTCATTAATAAAGTCATTGAATAAACAAAATTATTTTCAATGATATTATTGAAAATGATATTATTGATACAACATTTTTTTTCAGTATCTTTTTTGTGGACTTATGATACTCGTTTTATTATACATATATCAGTATAATCTGTTTAAAGGAAATCGAGGTGGAAATCGAACTTACAGCCAATCATTATGGGAGATTCGAGATGTATCTTTGTCCTAATAACGATCCGTCGCGTGAAGCAACTCAAGAATGTTTCGATTCGTAAGTGATCTCTACAACTGGTACGTGCAACTGCTGCTTTCGCTAATATATTTTAATCGCACAGTTATCCTTTGTACGTGTCCGGGACGCAGGACGTCCGTTTTGAGATTCCGCACGACACAGGAAAAAAAGGCATCATTAAGTATATGGTAACGTTACCATCGTACATAACGTGTTCGCAATGCGTCATTCAGTGGAACTATTACACAGGTTACGAAATTTTATCGTGCATTACTCTCCCCGTTTCTTCCAGGTAGCAAGATGTCGTCTTATTTAATTATGACGAAGGTGACGTTCAAACATTATAAAAATGACATGTGGCCGGTATTCATAGTCAGATCTGTCAATAATCAAAACTGTCTTAATTATAGTTTTAAGAAGTCACGAACTAATCAGAGGACCGTATTAGCGTCTTAAGACATTACTTAAGATAGTCTTGAAATAAGAACGGACTATAATATCATCCATGGACTTGTTACAGTCATAAGTCAATGTCGAAATATGTCTTTATTTTCATGTTACTAACAGCATAAATGAATGAGGTTATTAACTGATCACTAATAACGTTATTAGTACGTTGTTAATTGGCTATCCATCGATGTCAAAGTGTATCGATGTCACGTTATAAATACCCTAAGAAATGCACCAAGTTAAGAGAAAGTTAATTGACTTTATTTTGATGGCAATCAAAATGATGATTTTTTGTTACAAAATTTGACTATTTATTGAGAAGTTAAGAATTATCTCAAAATTAAATCATTTTGATTTTTTGTTGACTTTTTATATGTTCTTTTGGGACATCGTAGAATGGATAAATAAATGACATCGTTAATTAATCAAAAAAATAACGTCATTATTATATCTTAAGTACACTGTTAGAAATGTTTCCTTTCCATGTAAATGAAGCTCGTGGTTATAAACGAAATTAAAAGTAATGAATGATTTAATTGAAAACCAAATTGAAAATTACAGTAGTTACTTCAATGAATATGTACATTAAATTTCATAAAATTTTATGAAAAGTACATTAAATTTCATAAAGTTTCATGAAAAATAAGTACATTAAATTTCACATGTATGCAATATTCTTTTCGGTTATAAATATATTAAATTTATAATGTAATGCCATGAAATTAAATTCAAATTGTGTAACTTAAAAGTACATTAAATTTCATGAAATTTTTAACAGTGTAGGTAACATGACGTCACCAATTCGAAATGATTGAATTACTAATATCAAGAGCGGAATCCATAGACGTTGCTCATTCGAGATGACCTTAAGCTTGAAATATCATGAATCAATCAGAGAATATTAGCATCTTAAGAGATTGCTTGAGCTTATCTTGAGATTAAGAACGAATGGACTATGGATTCCGACCCAAAATGACTATTGGCTAATCTTGCTACCCTGGGCTATGTCGCTTTGAGGACGATCTCTTATCACGTCTGTTTTACTATCAGGAAACATGTGGGGCACTTGTGAAAACGGTACGGAAGCTGTCGGATGTGGAAGACCAGAAACTTTCCGTAACTGCGCCGACGTGAGTATCGTCACCAGTACCGGTGGGATACCGCCACGGTTTTTGTATCAGAATATTCTTTACGAGCTGTACTCGATAAGTCCGAAATACTCCACCGCGCCGCTCGCACGGCCATTGAGGTGAGAATCGTTGTGTTAAAAGGATACGTTAATTCGCGCGCGTGTCAGCGTCAAACGCTCAATTGTTGTCGATACGACACGCACGTGCATGGGTTTCATGATTTCAGAGTTCAAGTGTGCGAGCCAACTGCGGCTTATCGATACAGGCAGAATATGACCAATTGGTGTCAAGTGAATTGCATTCGCATCCCGTCAAACTGTCCGCCTGGTGTCTGTCACTGCCTGTGAGTATCCATTAAATTGATCGGCGCGCGAGTTTAAGCAATAAATTGTTATTGACTCGGAATTGCATTAACTCTGCTAGTCTATTCTTTACTACGATCATATCATTTGGGTCAATATGATTAAAAAGCTTTAAAAAATAAAAAATAAAAAATTTTCACGGAAATTTGATTTTAACGATAATAAATGAAGTTATCAAATACTAGAGAAAAAAATTTTTTAATGAAATATTAATAAGAAGATAAATTACATTTTGAGAGTCAAATTTATTATACTATCATTGTTTAGGTAGATATGACTAAAAGCTCTAAAAAAATAAAAGATAAATAATTTTCGCAGAAAAAGATTTTACATTATCAGAAAAAGTTATCAAATACCAGAAAAAAGATTTTTTAAATATTAGTCAGAAAATAAATTACATTTTGTTAAATAGATCTAAATAAAAACGGACCAGCGGGATTAAAGAATTAAATGATTATGGCTTTCATTTTAGCGTTCGTATTTTCAAAAATTTTTCTCTGATTCTTGTTTCAATATGATTACAGAAACACTTGCGATGCTATTGGAGATATCGCCGATAAACCTGGAGCAGACCAATATTGCCTGAGACGTTGCATGCGTTATCCGTCGAATTGTCCGAGTGATCGCTGTAACTGTTATTGAAACTGTAAACCATGCTTGATATTGACATTCTACATACAGCGTTAAATGTGGGATGTGAATGTGTATAAGTATCGTCGAATTAATAAAAGTCTGACCGTAATACGCGTAATTTCACTGCTTACTATGAAAAGTATTCTATATGGATAATACTATGAAAGTTTCTCTGTACGAGAATGTTTTTCTTACCTTATTCATGGCTGCTTCTTCCTGGAAAATTTTTGAGATACGCTATAAATGTAAAATCCACTTTGCTTAGAAATCCATGATTTATCGAATTTTCATAAGCTAAAATTCTATTTATAATTTTATATCTTATGCATATGATATATTTCAGTTTTTAAAAATGTATATATTTTAATATACATTTCAGATATGCGAATATTCCATAGATATATTTTACTTCTTCAAATGTTTTTCGTATACGTAAATACGACATATAAAATTATAAATAGAATGTATAATAATGTGACGCAATTTATAGATTACTTAAAGTGGACTTTGAAGTAATAAAATAGAAATAATGCAATATACCTGCTCTCTGTGAAACGCGAGAGAGGTGAGTGACGAAGAAAATCGTGTAATGGCACTATAATATTTAATATTAGGACATTCTATTGACAGCTTAAAATTTTTCACGCGTATATCACATATTATATACGTAATCGTCAACGTTCCTCGCGGCCTTACGATATATTAATAATGCAGCTATGTTTAACGAAACGATGAGACGGTTCACCAATTTCACGCGCTTCTTCAATCGCCAACGAGAATTCATAATTAATGATACCAATTGGAAAACGTACGAATTCATACGTTTTCGCAATGTATTGTTTATGTATATATTATACATATAATCATAAATCTCTCCTCACTATAATTAACACTTTACAAAACTATATACACTAAAGCCATCTTTGTATCGTCTACAACGCTAGCTAGCAACATTTTCTTTTTTTCCTTTCATCTCTCATATATATAACATATTCTTTATATATATATATAATTATATATATATTTATATATTTATATCGGCACGCGCCTTCATATGCGCAGTATAATAATAATAATAATCGTCGCCAAAGTGCGTAACATTAGCGCGTCAAGTTAAAACTCGTGCTACGCCAAGTTCTAGCGCGAGGTGTACGATAATATAAAGTTCATCTATCTGTCACTTACTGCTAATTGCTATGCAACTAATTAACGTCCGCGGTCGGTTGCGGTTTAATTATTCGTGTACTCTCTCCTTCTCTCTCTTCCTTTCGTATTTTCCACACGACTCTCCGCTTTATCATTAATCCTCTCATTCCCTATCGATACACAATATTATGCAATTGGCGGAGCACTTCTCATTTCGACGGATTATTTCGTGCATTAATAATGAGATAAAATAAACCACGTTAAATTATTGTCTTTATTTTAATAGATACTTAAATTAAAAATAATAAATATTGTCGACGTGTTATTGCGCTAATTAAATTTAATTAAAACTACTTAGATATTGGATTCTTGGGGAAATTAAAGAGAGGTATAATTCAGGAGTGGGAGGATTAATCGCGACACGCAGACAGCCACCTCGAGCTTCGATCTTATGAACGATGAGCGAGCAGATCGAGAAACACCTCTTGGTGTTTATACATTGTCGTTTCGACGAATGCGTCCTCAGAATGACACGAGAGAAGTTTTCTTCACGTTAACTTTTCGCGTCAGAAAAAGAAAGAAAAAAAATAAAAATAAAAGAATCGTTCGAAGATCAAATTTCAGAACTCGCGAGAAATCGGGAAATAATGGTGCCTCTTATGAAACTGTGGAAAGGAAGGTAATCCTATATCAAATATATGGCTCTATGTGCATGATTTTCTTTTCTTTTCTTTTTTTATGCAATTAAGGGTGCAATTAAAGTTTACTACAAATACTTCGAAGCATTGGACCAATCAGAAGAGAAAATTTTACGATTGACCGATCAAAAAATGCTTCAAAGCATTAATCCCGAAACATAATAAGTATAATAAGCTTTAAGCCTTAAGAAACTGACTATTTATAGTCGATTATTCTTCTTACATTCGACTGTGATTAATCAATTTCTTACTTCTTACATCAAGCTTCTTAAAAAGAAAAAATTTATTATAAATGCTAATCCTATACTATGATGACAAATTCTACTTGCAAATATGGATATCGAAAATTATTTGCAGGTGTAACAAATATTTAAAAATGTTTTTTGTACTCGCTACAAAAATTATTATTTGCAACAAATTCAAAATATTTGTCAAATATACAAATTTATTTGCTATAAACAGTAAACAAATTGGACAAATAAATCTTGCAAGCCTTTTGCGTTTATAGCAAAATTATTTTTGTTCTATATGTTCCACAGATGACGCATCACCCCGGATATAGGTATTTTAAGCCTTAAGTCGTAAGAAATTGACCAATTACAATCGAATTCGAGAAGAATAATCGACTATTCGTTCATTTTTCTTATGGCTTAAGGCTTAGAACTCTATTGTAGATCCGGGATTATGGAAAATGATAGTCCTTAAGACTCACTTATTGTGTTTTAATACGTGGTCTACAATGGCAGTAGCGGATGAGGCTGTAAGAGTAAGAAACTGACCAGTCACAGTCGATAATTCTTCTCACATTCGACTGTGATTGGTCAATTTCTTACTCTTATCCGCTATTGCTACTGTCATTGCGTGTTTTCCAATAAGGACACAGTCAGACACAGTGAATCATTATATTCTCGTTGTTTGCGTTAAAGGATGAAATGATTCACTGTGTTACTTCGTGTCTGACTGTTTACTTGCTGAAAAACGCCAATTATAGACCACGCATAAAGCCTGTTTTATAATAGATCGCAAGCCATAAGAAATTAGCCAATCATAGTCGATTATTTTTTTCATATACAACTGCGATTGGCCCATTTCTTACGGTTTATGACTTGCGATCTCTATTGTAGAACAGGCATAAGACTTACCATGATACTCAACATTAAATCACAAATGGAAACATTCGGTCATTCAAACGGATGCGTTCATTCACTTTATCGATGCGACGTCGTTACTTCTCACTGTCGATGATTCCATTCTTCGTTAAGACCACGGCATACAAAAAACTTAAGATAGTAAGACGTAAGCAGTAAGGAAATCAATGTATTGGATAAGTTGGATTGGTTATTACTTACGTTTTACTATTTTAAGTTTTTTTGTATGCCATAGCCTTTACTTTGCACGAACTACGCGCGAATCATGACAATCACGACTGAATGCGGATAATCAAAGCGATTCTTTCTGGGGTTGCCTATCACTCGATTATGATAGAATCCCTAGGAAATCGCTTTTGAAGCGATCCTTTGGAAGGGCGCGTCAAAAATTCGAAAAACACTCGATTTTTTAAACATCCGATATGCAAAAATGCGAAAGTGATGGAAAAAAAGAGATTAAAGAGAAAAATAGAAAAGAAAATATATACCAAAAATTTAAAAATAATATGTAGACATTATTTAACATTTGCAAAATTAATTAATTTTTTATTAAAATACATTACGATATTATTACATAATGCTGTATTAATACAAGTAATACATTTCTAAGTTAGTAATGTTTCAGTGAAGTATTTTTAAATTTCTAAATTGAGAAGTTTTAATTACGAGTGAATGTACATAATTTTTATAACTTTATTTTATTTCCATCCTGTTATACTTTTAATTATATTTTTTCCATTAAAACTGTGTATCATGAGTTTTTAAAATTCAGTGTCTAATTTTTAAGAGTTTCATCTTTTATTAAAGTTGTGACACTTTTTTATAAGCAAATGAGCTGCTACAAATGTAGTGCTTTTTCAAAAATGTATTAAGATTAATTTACAGTGTACGGTTTACTGTGTTATTTCTTGTTTTTTATCACTTTATTTTTTTTCTTTCTATTCTGTTTCTTTGTTTTCTGTTATCCGAGATAAAGATTGACGAACTTTAGAAAAGATAAGAAATATAATTATCGCTAAAACGATCGCAAAGAAGAAAAAGACGAGAAGTAAAAAACAGGAAGTGAAAAACAGGAAGCAAATAACACATTGTAGATTAAGCTTTTAATCTTTATGATCTTTCCTTTCATTATCTCAAAAATGCAATATTTTTTACTGTTATCGCTTTCTAATCAGCACAGCAATTTATATGTAATAACATCGCAAATTATTTTAATAAAAAGTAGAATATTATTTTCGCATTCAAGTATATAGTATCGCGCTCAAATCATCCACAAAAATTATTTGTTTCCTCTCAATCACAATAGAACGGCAACGCTCGACTTCGCATTATTCGCGTTAAATCACGCGATAACTGATAAGCTTTATTTTGGCATTATTCTCCTATAGCATTTCAAAATATCTTCTCCGAGAGAAATTTTATTCAATATTATATAATATTTATTTTTTATTCTTGCATTAGATTGCATTAGAACATTCTTTGGTAATTGGCTCAGCAAACATAATTAATCCGTTAGGATTATTAATGATTCTGTAATATAATTGATTCTTGCCTTTAATTCTTCGCTGAATCTACTGTTAAAAATTTTATGAAATTTAATATACTTTTAAGTTACACAATTTGAACTTAATTTCATTACATTAAATTTAATGAATTTATAACTAAAAAATATATTCGTGTACATGTACATAAAATTTAATGTATTTTTCATAAAAATTTATGTACTTTTCATAAAATTTTATTAAAAGTACATTAAATTTAATGTTCATAAATTCATGTTTATCACATTTAAGTAACTATTGTAATAATTTTAATTTTCAGTTAAATCATTTATTACTTTTAATTTCATTCATAATCACGAGGTTCATTTACATGTAAAAAAACTCGTGATTACATTTCTAACAATGTCAGTATAGAAACCAATTATTTTTGGAAACATTGTCTTGGAGCGAGACACGAACATGTCTCCTTAAAGTCGATTCTACATTAGTTGCAAGCCAACAATCTGAAGCTTGCATTTTGAAATCAACGCTTCATGTTGGCTGTCGCAATAAAGCGATCAGCTTGCAACTAATGTAGAATCGGCTTTACGCGAACCGGCGAGTTGCGTCAGATCAAGATTATCGGATCTCAATAAGGGCTGAACCGATCAGGTTCTAAGTGTATGTTCAATCG